AGGACAGGGCTGAGTCACTAGCATTTCACTAAAAAAAGAAAAATAGGGCGGCACGGTGGTTAGCGCTGTTGCCTAACAGCAAGGAGGTTGTGGGTTCTGTGTGGAGTTTGCATGCTCTCTCTCCCCATGCTTGCCTGGGTTCACTCCGGCTTCTTCCCACAGTTCTAAGACATGCAGTTTAGATTGATTGGTGTCTCTATAGCAATAATATATTTGAGTTGAAGGAAAATTTTTATAATACTGGATGATTTTAGATCATCCAGAAAAGTGAGATGTTCTGTATTGTATGGCCCCAGGGTTGCATGTGCATGGAGAGTCCCATGATAGCTGCACAAAGGGTGACATTGCCAGCACGCTGACCAGGGACTTCCATTATTACACATTGGCCAATTATGTTTCTACCTCTTCTTCTTCTCTTCGCAAGATAGAACCCTGCTTCACCTACAAAAATCCATTCATGGGGCCTTTCCATGGAATCCAGTTCCAACACTCTGCAAATAAAAATAAAGTCATTTACTGTAATACATAAGTGAAACTGAAAGGCTTTTACAGTAGTGTATGTACTCCTGATTTACTACATACACAACAACATAGTGCATGTTACAATAACTATAGGCTAGAAGCTCAGAAGTGCACTGTAAGCGTCAGCACTGAAAATGTCTGAGCGTTTACTTACAAAAACTGATGTAGTAGACCTTTGACCCTTTTGGAGTTACATTCAAAGGGTACTCTGTATACTTGCTTCATGCGTATGTGGTTACATTGGAGAACACGGTCAATGGTGATGGAGAAAACCATCTAAAGGGAACCTTTGGGAAAGAGCCACCCCTGCTGTTGATTCCCACCACAACACATCTGTGTGAATGTGCAGTCAGTGAGTAGTTGCTATGCTGCTTCTATTGTTCCCAGTGTAAATATTATTCAAACTTATTTTAATACATAGTTCTGTGTCATAACTGGAGTAGAGTGTATCTCTGGACTTCATATCATATCCATGTCTGCAGAGACTGTACTGTATGCCTGTCATTTTACTCTGTAGGTTTAGTTACACAAACACACGGTATCCTTGCTGATAAACAAACTGGAGTAGGTCACTTCAGTCGTATTATCTTTAATGTACAGTATGTTACATGATGACCAGCCTGATATCAACTCATAATTTCATGCCATCTATTTTCCTCACTCAAGGATACAGTGAGACCTTCAGTATGATAAGTTCTCTATGATGATACAGCTGTGCCAGCCAAGGGTGTCACCCTAAAGGTTTACACCTTTCTCCTCTGTGACACTTTTAAGAGACTGAAACATCTTGGACAATGCCAATCCGTTTCAGATCATGAGATTTTCAGCCACTAAGAGATACTTTGGTTTTATTTACACAACAATGCACTAAACTTCCACCTGTTCTAAAAGCCAAAGACCATGTTCCAAACACCCAAGATATAGACAAAGGAACCCATATGGAGATAGGAGGGAAAACTCCAAATAATACGATTATGTCAGCGTCACATTGCGTCAGACAGATGTGTTCCTGCCTGTCACTCCTCCTGCTGTCAGATGTGATCATGGATAGCGGTTTAGGACGTCACTCGGAGCCACACAGTCAATCAGGACAGTAGAGAAACAGTTCATAGACAAGAGCTAATCGCAAAGTCCTTGTCCCACATGTTCCTGTTGCATTGTGTCCCTCATCCAACGACAGGACACTTCAGAGATAAATCTTACATAATGCATGTTGAAGTTCATTAGATCCCGTCACAGCGCAGAGGTGCACTTACAGACAGTAGCTGTTTGACCTGCTGTTGTCATCTTACATCACTGCAGACTGACATTAAGTTACACTAAGCCAAATTAATAAGTAATAGATGACAACCTGTCCAGGTGGACCCCACCTCATGCCCAGTGTCATCTGGGATCAGCAATAGATGGTTATCTGTTCCTCTCGTCTGACTTACCACTTTTTCCTAATTGACCCTGTGCAGTAGCAGTTGCAGCAGCAGAGCAACTTGTCATTACTTTTGCAGATGCGACCCTGCTGATATGCCAGCAGGGAAGAGAGTGCGTCCAGATCCTTCAGTAGCCTTGACAGAGATATAGCACACAGACCCAGTGAACTCCTGCAATCAGAGGCAGGTGGGCCTGTTGACAGTCTTTTCAAATAAAAGGCTTTATACAAACAGAGCAGGCAGGCCTTTACACCATCTTGTTCTTGTAAAATCAACACCATGCCAGCATTGCTAATTTAACTGTCAAATGTATTTCAGAGCTGCATAAGCTTGATAAGTGTCCAAACGCTGAAATAAAAACTTTACATTACACCAGCGCTGCACTGAGCACTGGTCTGGCCCCTGTTGACCCCCTCACCATACTAACCCCTGCCTGCTTACACAGAGCTAGCCATGTAGCAGGCTAAATAGTTAGCCTGGTTCTATTGGTGATATTTGTACATTTCTGAGACTTGCTAGAAGCAACTGGAACAGAAAACCAAACGGTGCTGATGACACTGACAGATGAAAGTATTACAATATTCCTTCATCACTAATGTCAAAAATATCATCTTTGCAAAGTGTAACCAGTCTAACCTTTACCCTACAGGTCTGACAACAGCAGTTCACTCATGGCCATGAGATTCAGTTGTGAGTGTGGGGGCTTTATTAGAGCAGCTCTACATGGGAAGAGATGGAGTAAATAATACTATCTGACACAAGCAGCTGCAAGGAGAGCGCTCCCTCTCGTACTGCCTTATCAAGTCAACTTTGAACAGCTGTTACTATGTTGTGAAGTCAAAAGGTCAGAAACAGTGTCCTGCTAAGAAGAGACTTTTCAAAGATTACGCAGAGATGTAAATTGTATTCATCAGTGGAGGGACAAAGTAAAGCCATTCTGTCTGCCTTTTTCACAAAATTGTCCAGTTGGTAATCTTGATTTTAAACTGTTAGAAATGTATTTTCTGAATTATCGCTGCAGGGGCTGGAGGGTAGTAGTGTGGTGTTCAACCCCTACCAATAGAATAGAATAAGAACTGGATTGACATAATTAGGATAAATCTAAATGGTACAGCCAATAAGCTGTGACTCAAAACCGTGTATAGTCAGTGACAGTAGTGCAAACAATAATAGGAGAATGTCAGATGGTTCAGCATCACCAGGGCGTTGGTGATGAGGTGCAAATAGCATATGAAGTAAAGTACAGATACCTCAAAATTGTACCCAAGGACAGTACTTGAGTGCATTACAGTTACTTTCCACCACTGCCTATGGCCAAGAGATCACACTGCAGCAGCAACACATTTTTGAATCCATCGCTTTAGCGGTTTCAGTAAAATGGGAGGGATGGAGATGTGTAATATGACTGGCTGCACCTTAGAGTGTAATTTTGGTCAACATTACCAGACCTCTGACAAAGGGGATACCCCTACCGCGACATCAAGTTAGCGTTCTTAATTTTTTAAATATTTGATATTCCCTTCCAATGCCATCGTTTTTAATCAGTCCTGATACAGATACTGCACCTGCCATTTTCTCTCAGTGAAAACTGAGATGTTTGAAAATACGCACTAATCTCACCGTAGTGCTTATTACGCAGTTTTATCAGGCTGCTGTAGATGGCCTTCATAACTCTTGGAAAGCTCTTGGAAAGAGATGATAACTTGTGTCAAAGTAAAATCAGTCAGCTGTTTATGATTGTTTATGAGTAAAATCAGTCAGCTGTTTATGATTGCACTGAATCCGAACGTCAAAACAAAATGATGTGAAATTCACAACAGCTCTGTGTGCAGTGTGTATTGTCAAACAATCCTTTTATAACGTTTCCTCCTGCAGTGGCTTCAGCATGAACCTCACATAATCTGTCACAAAGGATTATGAAATTGTAACATTTATTAAAGCCGTAGTGAAATAAACAGGGGACGCATTCAAAGTGTTTTACATAAAATGTGTTCATACACAAAAATTGAAACTAGATAATCTAAAAACAAAATAAGTACAACTGAAATAAAAGTAACAGCAGGTTGATTCAAGCCCATTCAGTAGATACACAGTCTTGTTCAGTACATTCTGCTAATGTCTGGACCCAAAACACAGGGTAAAGCTACACACTGTCACTCAGTCAATGTACTGGGAGATGCAGTCTACTATTCCACAGACTTTGCAGGTGTGTCACAAACTTTAAATTACAGTGTTAAACAGGCATTCAACTAAAGAGGAACTATCATTAGCTATAGTGGCTAACAAGCTCACACACATCTCAGTGACATCATGATTCACGTTCTGTCAAAGCTAGCACCATCAGGAGCAACTTGGGGGTCAGTTTTTTGCCCAAGGACACGTTGACAGGTGGAGTGAGGAGAGCAAGAATCAAACCACCGACCTTCCTGTTGGGAGACGACTGCTGTACCTCCTGAGCCAGAGCTGCCCCAATTTATATATATATAGATATTTATGACATGTGATGTTAAAAAACTAAAACAAAATCACCTACCAATTCTTTAAATACAGTGAAAACACAACAAAGTACCAAAAGCTCACTAGGGTATTAAAGGTTTAGCTCAGTAATAAGACAAATGAATAAGAGTCAATATGTGGCACTTTCCATTTGTCTAGTATGGTTAACTTTAATAGCCCATAGTAGACTGTTTGACATTTAGCAGTTAATAGATAAAGCAATAAATAAAGGCCAGTGACATACTGACAAACACTGGCATGGTGATATTAAAGAGTGTGGGTGGATATCATCAGAAAGACGGATGAAAGAGAGGCTCATTGAAAGTTTGAAATCCTGGTGGCAGGACTTCAGGTGTCTATTGCCATTTCCTGGAGCTGAGGACCTCCAATATGTCTGCCAGTATGACATATCAACTGGGTCCATGTGTTTCCCTCCAAATCAGTTAACAACCTGGAGCTTCAGGGGGATTCTCCATCACTGCAGCCCCTACTGAGCAGACAGACGCAGTCTTTCAAACTTGCTGGGTCCAATCCAGTAATGATAAATCTTCAGCTTTTCATGAGGTTGAAGGTCATGATTCAGATCTCATTGTTCTTTGAAGGGCTGAGGGAGGCCTGCTGGTTGTGCTCCGTGTGTTTTTAATCCTCCTGTGTGATGATGAAACTTTGCTTCTCTGTTGAAGTGACGGCTGTGTTTTTCTATATGCTTCCCTTTTTGGACTGTTGGGAGCGCCTAGATGCCCCAAGAGTCTCTTCTGAAATACTGCTTCAAACTGCTTTTCCTGCAAGACAGAAATACAAAAAAGGTGACTCAAGGACATGTAGCTTAGCTGTAGCAGATAAGCAGAACAAAGAGCTTAGTTATTGTGTATTTTTTGGTACTTGAGACACGTTCTCACATATCAAGTGAAGGCTAATTTCTGTGGATGAAAATCTACACTCAGTAAATATTTTAGTAAAACATGCCTGAAAATATAACAGATATTTGGTTCTTGTGGGAGCTGTTGCCTTATGCTAACTCTAGGACAAAGTAATTGTGTATTGTGCTTAAGGTCAAACAGCAGCAGAGCTTGACCAAAGGTTCCTTAGTGAAGATCTGCTGTAGTTGATTCCGTCATGTGGTAACAGGTGATAGTAATTTAGGGGAGATTGTGACTCTGGACTGGCTCATAAATGGTCTTTGGCATTGGATGTGAATGACTTGTAGAGGTCCCGACAGGTCCATGTGGATCTAACTAAACTCTGAGACCCAAGTTGGGCTGGGTCAAAATGACACTGTGTTAGGCTGGACAGGGCTCTGCTGTATTTCTAGGGGGTTTCCCCTGGATCATTATCCTCTGGTCTAATTGAACCAGGCCTGATTGTCCTCAGGCCCAGCTAGGTTGGGTCTCTGTTTGAAAAGTCATTTCTGGATATTGGGCTTTGGTAGGTTTGCTATGGATCTGTTATGGATTTGGCCCAAAATGTTGTACCATCTATGTCCTTACTCATTCTGCAGCCATCCATCAAAGACACTGTCTTTTAAGAGAAACAGGGGTTGCAAAAGCCCAAAGTTAGGTCAACATTAGTGGCTGCTGAGGACCACTTCCATGGAAAACCCTAGTGAGTGAACACTGCAGCAGAGCTCTTACCATGGCTGTCTGTGTGGTGGTGTGTGATGCTGTGGTCATGGCTGGGTAAGCTGTGGTGTACTGCTGGCTCTTTGGTTTAGCACAGTACAGCTCCAGATGTTGAAGTTCACAGCCAGCTGGCCGGCAGCACTGATCTACTATCCCCTTCCCTCTGGGCCGCGTGCCGTAACCAGACCACTTACCTTTACCTGCCAAGAGAGAAAAGTCAAGCATGAGATTCTCATCTATCTTTTAAGCTGCAATATGCTCATTACTCTGAAAAAGAAACACAGGCCAGCTTGACCGGCCTCAGCAACTGGTAGCATCAGGTAAATGATGTGGTAGGAGTAGCTTGCATGCATTAGGAAATTTCTTGGACAACTAGCCATACTATTGATTAAATTACTCTTACAGCATTTCCAGTATGGGAGCTAAAAATGAAATCCTGAAAGGAGGAGCCACAAAAATCAAAAACTTCATCCTCTGTAAAATTTTAGCTAACATGCTAAAGTGATATGGTGAACACATTACCTGCTAAACATCAGCATGTTGACCACGCATCAGCTTGTTAGCACTTAGCTCAAAGCACTAAACTACCTTATGTGTAATCCTTTTTGTTTGAAATCGGTCATAAACGTGCAGGACAAAACCCCACCACCAAGTACAAAGTATATGGTGTGAAATTTTGTTCAGTGACATTAAACCAGTTTCAGATAACAAGTGTTTTCACAGTAAAGCTATCACACACTAAGGCACAGTGTTCTGGTGAGCAGCTGCCATTTCGGTGGATTGTCACCACACTGATAGCAGACGGAGGTGGCGGCCTTGGTCAGGAGAGTAATCAGGTGAAAGAGCTTGTAAGTAATTCTCTAAGAGGGGGAGTGGGAGATTATTTTCTAATAATAATAAAAACCGCCGTTTCAAAGTGAATGCTGTACAGCCTTACAGTACAGTGTCTGACCCAGTATATTCATTCATGTCACCCGTTTTTACCTCCTTGATGAAGCATGATTGCATAAAACAGAATCAAATACAACCTGAAAGAAGATCAATCATAAGGCATTATTCTGAATTAAGAGTTGAGTGTGCCTGTGTCGATGCTGCGACCTACAGTACAGTGCTGTAGTCCAGTGTTGTGGCCAATGAGCAGGACATGTTTAGATGCTGTGGAGCTGATAATCTGGTCAGAATACCTGCAGTGTTTTTATGTGGTCATGATGACCATGACCATATCTGTGTTATGTGCCTCGGCTTGTGCACAGTAAAGTAAGTGTTAACACACAGGGTAGAATAACCTTGAGAACATTTGGTCCAACCAGTTGTTTAAAATATATATTTATCACATTCTCTATTTTTATTTACAGCTAACATTTATACTCCTTTTCCCTGCTGACATCACTAACACCTAGGTCAAAAAAACATACCATACAGGCTGCATAGCTCACTGGGTCATAGTGCATTAAAAGAAGAGCTGTGTGTGCAATGCCAGGGAGCCCAGATAAAAACAAGTTGGCTTGATGTGTGCACAAAATAACAACAAACAAAAATCTCAGAAGCCTTCTTGGCTATTTTGCATGCATATTTAATACAGTCTCTAACGTAAGCTGTTTTTGTGCGAGGTGCCAGCTTCAATATTTGCTCATATCCGAATGTGTTCACGGTGCATTATCTGTTTCCAGCTAAAACATTTGTCTTTTTTTGGATCCTAGTGTCCAGAGGATGAATCCTAAAGACAGTACATTATTGACATTAACAGGGCTATAACTTAACAGTAAATCCCACAGGCAGCTGCTTGGATGACATTAGATATTTATGCGAAACAAGTGGGCACCAGGAAAGTTAGCTTACCTAAATAGATTCCACGATCCCCACACACAAATATGAGGTCGCTGAGGAGATCAGAACCACAGCGAAGCCTGGCTGCCTCTGAGGACACCGGCCAGCCCGCAAGACACATGATGGAATAGAACACACATATTCGGACACAGAACACCTGAAGACAAGAAGTGACAAGGCACAATTACATTCATGTACTTGATTAATTTAAGGTGCCAATCATGAGCCATCTTCCCCGGTTCGGTTCAGTCTGGGGACCTTGGCGCATGTTGTTTCCCATGGCTCTTTCTCCTGATTTCCTGCCACCTCTGTTTTTGACTAAAAATACCTCTAACGTTCATGTAATCATGACTTTCATAGCTTTTCTTCACCTGTCAGATGAAGGCAGAAGAAATGTGACTGAGCCTGTAATGCACAAGTGACTCCTACAGCCTCTGAAGGCTTGTTTGTAATAACATAATACATTCATAAATTTTAAAAGCTCAGAATTCTGAGATATGAGACAATAATCTTTTTAAATTAGACTATTTTAGGCCAAAATATAAATAATAGGATTATATTTCTGGCGTTGAGAAGTCAAAAATGTCAAAAATGAACTTAGACATTTTGTTGATTTGAAATGCAACAAGTGAGTGAACCATCATGACGACATCCACTGAGAAGCACAGTGAGGTGTAGCTGAAAGCTAAATGTTCTGTGTGAATAATAAAATTAGGTTCTTAAAAACATTTATTTCTAAAATGATTTATAGATTGTTTGATCAAAATTTGATTCCAAAACATCACAAGAATTATCATTTGGAATTTAATAAACAGTGAAAATGATAAGTTGCCGCCCTATTTCATTTTCTAACATATCAGTTTCCCTCCACCAACATATATAGTGGTGGATGTGAACTTGGGCCACACCTGGGTTCATTTTGGTTATACATTGCCAAACATAATTTAGTGTGTCAGCAGATCTCATGGCTAAAATCATGTCTTTAAATAGCTTGTTTTGTCAGATAAAGAGTTCAAAATCCAAACTGCTTAGCTTTCTAGGTGGTTTCCTGGAAATAACCAGTAATTTGGTACCAATTACAGGAAACATGAAGACAATGGGACACATTCACCAATGTCTTCCAAAGTGTTTTCTTAAATTTCTTAGTAAATTGTTCTTAAGAAACGTCCTAAGAAAAGTCTGCGTCTGATTCATAAACTTGTTCCTAAATGACAGATTTGTACACACCTGTTCTTATACTGATGAAAGCCATGTGTTCCTAAGTTGAACGCACATGCCCAGTGTTCTGGGACAGTTCAATGGTTTGATGAACACTTGCTGATTTCCAGGGGAATTTTCTTGAAAGAACTTCTCCATTTACAGCCAAGTAAATATGAATTCTTTTTCATTCATTACTGGACACACTATTGTCCATATATGCTAAATTGTACATTTATTACTTGACATATTCAGCTGACTTGCTGCATACTAAATCCACCTAATAAAGGTTTTCTCCTTTTTCTTCACAATCACAACCAAATGACAAACAAGAACCTTCCTTTGAATTTACAGCTACAAACCAGTTCCTTCCTAAGGATTCACAGGACATGCACCCGCAAAGTAAAGTGTTAGCAGAGAGGACAAAGAAGAGCAAAAGAAAATCCAAATGGTTCAGCTACTATCAAATTATTTCAAACTAGTTGTCCCCACTGCAATGCTGCATCAGCAGGCTCTGGTCAACCTCAGCTCCGTGGAATAAACAGCCAAACGGTCTCACCTTCAGCGTCTGGGTTGTGGCAGGAGGGCGGCTTGGCGAGTGCATCCTGTCAGTGTGGACCGACTTCAGGAGACCCGGGGTCTTATAGGCAGGAGGGGAGGACCGCAGCGCCAAGGTTTCCTCCCTCCGCTCAGTTCTCATCCAAGACTCATATCAGGTGATTTAACATGCTGTAACTGAGGCTGAACTTGTTCTGCTGTGTTTGTAAAGTGATATTCACATTGTCACAAGCATGATATTCGTGACATTCAGTTTTTCTTAAACCTGCTTCAGAGAGGTATTGATTCAATAACAAAACAACAAACCTGACAGGTGTGGTGTTCATCAGTTTAAACTGAACAATCTGACTTATAGATGGAAAATCAGCATCTGGTGTTTCTCGTCTGATCAGAACTGAAACGTTTACTGCTGAGTCTACAAACACTGCTAATGTAAATACGCATTAAAAAACGATAAATAGCCCAGTGTTAGGGTATTATTTTATTAACAATGAACTGATTGTACTAATAGATCCATCAACTATTTATATCAGGTTCCAATCTTCTGGTTTTCAACAGGACTAAACAAGTAGCACGGTGGTCGACAACTCAGCGCTACTCGTTTTGAGCTCAGACTTCCTCATCGTTGAGGAAGATGTACCTGGATCTATAGAAGTGAAGGCAACATGCCTCCCCAACCCCCAGCAGAAATGATGCCTTTGGAGACAGGTGAATGTCTGTTCATTACAGAATAACACATTTCATACATGAGTAGATGGATGCAGATCATGTGGGACATAACCTGAGCTGCTGAATGTTCCTTTTAAATAACAACAGTCACAGTCCTACTCATTCTTCATTGCAAAGGGATGTTTGCAGTAACAAAAATATATATCCCTGAATAAGTCAGTAACCAAAACTCAGCATGAAGTGTCAAACCAAAGAAAGTCTTCTTGTCAAGACAACAGAGCAGTAATGATTCTATAATAATGGTTTGTCTCAGTCTTACAACAAAAACCTGGTATCAGAAATTGGATGACTGTAAGAATACAGCTCCATACAAAAGGTCAGTATTTCCCGATCCCTTCATACGCTCCAGGATAACCTCTTTTTGGAATTTCCAACCTTTTACAACTAGGCTCATCTGCATGTTGAGTATTAACAGAAATTATATATATATATAAGCCATGTATGTAAGAATATAGCAGAAAAATGTTTGGACACTCTCCCCCTTTCAATTCATTGACAAAGTGTGTCCAAACCTTTGCAGACATGCGTGTCCTTGCGTCTCATGCTTCACACTTACTGTGAAGTCTTTTCAACAGCAAGACAAAAGTTCCACTAGTGACCCCTGGAGGTAGCAACGACTTTTAACACCTCATAAAACAAAGTGAGATGTGGTTAAAGGTACATGCCAGTGATTTTACATATCTATGTGTAAATATGTGACACGATCTGACATTGTCTCTCCAGCGAGTCAATGTCAGATCGGCCTGAAAAGGGAACAGATGTGGGGCTGTGGAGTAGGAAAGACTTGAGCTCCCTGACCTCTGTAGCGCCGTCCTCGGTGCTGCTACAGGCTCCATTAGCTGCTACTAGCATAGCACACTAGGATCTGTTACAGAACAGTCTGTGGTCACATTGTATTGTGGGTAATGTAGGCACCTGATTTTTAACAACAGCATTAACAGCAGCAGCGCTACATGTAAAGTTTGGCCTGACAACAGCCCTGGAGAAGATCAGGGATCAGAAACAACAAAAATATCAACCTAGCTTATCACCAATTATGTTTACATGCACATTAATATCCTAGTTAACGTTCTTTTTTAAAGCTTCCATGTCATTCTGGGTGTTTAGTCAGCCCACAGATGATTTTAAAAGGTTTAGTGTGGTTGAAACCATCTAATTTGTACAATCGTCCAACCTGCTGTCGTAGCCAACTCCTGGCTGTATTCCACTGCCTCCAAGAACTGTGGTCTCCATGCAGCTCATTATACAAATAGAGATTGCAATGCACACAATCAGAGTCTCTCCTCGAAACCAGTCATGGTGTTGCACTCTGTGGTAAACAGATGCAGGCCTGACAGATGTAGCTGTGTTAGGAATGACAAAACAGGAAGCGAATCACTGTTTACAGTGGGGGCGATTGTTAGATTTTCTGTTTTGGAACATTACAGAACTGTAGTTCAACAAAGACTTTGTGTAAAGTCACTAACAGTACCCAAGTCTCTGGTTGCTTGGGTCAGACTTTGCCCTTCACAACCAGCCAGTCCGTCATATCTGCCCTGACTGAGTTACCTCAGCAGTTTGAGGGTGTGAGCCCAGTTTGGTTGTATCATTACTGTTGTTCACTCTGAGCTGTCATTCTAAAGAAGGAAGGCTCCCGAGTGCAGCTTTCCTCTGGCTGAGTCTGGCCTTCAATCGAGCAATCTTCTCCTCTTCTTCCAGCTCATTATAGACATAATCTTTCGGTAGTGATGTGGACGCACAGGCTGCACCCAGAGTCTCGCTCCTGGTCCAGCTCTGGTTGCTACTTTGGTCAGTTTCACCACTGTTTATCTGCACAATACCGTCCATGTCATTGTTTCCACTGGTGCTCTCAGCTTCTTGGCTGCCCAGGTCCTGCATGTTATATTCACCACTGTCACTGTTGGCCACCTCCTCCACCACCTGCTCCCCCGGAGGCTGAAACCAAGCTGGCTCCTGCACTGCTGCTTCCTCTCGGGGCTGCTCTCCTCTAGCGGCCTCATGACAATGGCCGTCCACTTTGTGCACACTGGACTGAGGGACAGAACGAGCTGTCCTAGATGAGGATACCTTGTGTGTAAAGTCTTTCTTGTTTTCACTGGTTGTTACTTTGCATGTGGTGAGTTTCTTCTTGGGCCTGCTGTCATTTAGAAGCTCCTGAAGGACATACAAAGTAATATGACATATGGCTCATGTGCATAGTAATGGTGCATGATAAAACAAAAATCCACATAAGCACTGACAAAGGGTTTAATCACCAACTAAAATGTCACGTTACCTTTTTCTGCTTTTTGGATGACAAATCTGATGTTGAAGGAGTGGAAAACTGGGAAGCTGGCTGTGGTTCTCTGACTTCTTGTTGGGTCTGGCTTCCTTTGGGGCTCCTCACTGACAGGTAAATGCGTCCGCAGTAGATGACAACAGCCTTGTCGGCGGTGTTTACTGCTGAAGCCTGGGGCATCAGGGAAGTGTGAGATGTGTGAGGGGAGACACTATTCCCAGACCCGGTGTCCTTCAGCACCTTGTAAGCTGTGCGGTTGGAGGTCACAAAAGACATTCGGCAGGTACCAGACAAAAGCCGAGACTCTCTGTCCGACACTTTAATCACACTGTTCCCTGTGTGGGAGTCCAGTCCCTGCCCTCTACTCCGTATCACTACTGGACAAATCCATGTGCCCTTTGGAGAGTCGGCGATTTTCCTGGAGCTATTTGAGTCAGGCGGGGGGAGGCCCATGTGTTTAAGCACAGAACTTGGTAAGCTCCACAGAGGGATGTTTTTCACCTCAGCCTCCGCTGGGATGTAGATTTCCATGCTCTGTGTATCCTCCTGTGTACAAAGAAAGAGCCTATGAGTTAGGGTGCAGGCTCCACAAGAGCCTAAAAAAAATCCAACACTTCCCATTATGTTTTGAAATGAAAGTGAGAATGAAAGTGAGAATGGGACTGAAGCATAATTTCTTATACTATATTAACATCACTGTTAACTAGTAATGATGACTGTCCAGATGACAGTTTTGATTTCAAGTAAGCGGTTTAGATAGATAGATAGAAACTTTATTGCAGACTCAAGGTCCAAAAAACAACAAACAATAAAAAAACAACAACCAGTCCACTACTATCCCTTTAAAAGGCAAGTATACCAGTGTCTCATTTGTCAAACACAATTTTCAGTATCACTTCCGTTTCACATCATCATAAACTAAAGTCCATGCAAATTCTCAGTCATCCATTGCATTGTTTACTGTCTGTTTATACTGCCTTTTCTGCATTGTTTGCACTGGTTGTTGATGTTAATACTGCTATTTTGTTATATTACACAGCCTTATGCTGGTTTATACTGTTTGCACATTGAGAGCCGATATACCAGAGTCAAATTCCTCATGTGTCCAACACACCTGGCCAATAAACTGATTGTGATCCAGATTGTAGTATGCTGAAAAAACATCTGGACGTAGTTCTAGGTAGAAGACATTTCACCTGTCATCCAAGAGGCTTCATCAGTTCTATCTGACAGGAGGTATTTATCCCACTGGGTGGTGTTTCAGTCCTTAGACAGCCAACAATGTCCTCTAACAACTCAGTTGTTGGGGTCTGGTATCGGCGAGAGTCCTTACCTGCCTTGAACCCTCACATGTGGACTGATGTCTATTGTGATCACCAGTCAGACAGAACTGATGAAACCTCTAGGATGAGAGGTGAAACGTCTTCTGCCTAAAACTACGTCCAGATGCTTTCTTCTAAGTTTTTCCAGCATCATAAACTAAAACACTTTTCATTTTCCATACAAATGTGAAGAATCTGATTCTGTAAAACTGACAAAACTGCAGTGGACTTTAATTACTTGGGCATTTTCATCCATTATTAAGAAATTAATAAGTCGACAATAAAGAGGTAGAGCTGTTGTCAGCCTTTTGTAGTCCATTATTAACTGAAAACTACTTCAGGCTGTTCCAAATTCATTTTCTTTTTGTAAAATTTCAACCACTTCCTGAAGCCTGACATTTGGGGACTACTGGAAGCTGTTACTACATTTTCTATTTGGATGGAAATTAAAGGTGTAACTAATCTGCCAGGCAGCTTTTATTTAGAAAGGTATCCCCTCGTTTCCTGTACGTCATATCTTGCGGTATATGTGGCCTTTTATTATTTAGTTTCGTTTCAAAGCAAACGATCACAAATGGCATCGCTGCTTGCTCGCAGTTCTCGTAAAAACGTCTTGCATTAACGCACAAGTTAATCACGTTATGGACCAAATGGACCAGTTCATCAACTGGTCTGACACGTTTAAGAAATGCATCCTGGTACATTTCTATTCCGAAAGTGTTATGTGGCAAGTTTGACTCCTAGTTTAAATCGCTTTGGATTTTAACCAAAAAGCCCAAACGATGTAAAAAATCCTATCCGAGTGGAAACCGCCCTTTTAGTCCTTTACGCCAATTTACCTTTCTCCTTCTTTGTTTAGTAACAACGCTGTTTAACCGCGTAGGAAAGACGATACCAACGTTAAGCTTCATTGTCTTCGTGTCTATTCAAATTCTTAACCAAACCGTCTCTGCGACTATTCTGTTTGTCACAGGTAGAATAAAGTTTTACACCGAATTACAGAGACGAAAACTACGCTTGCTGTTTCCATAGTAACACATCTTACTGTCTACACTAAACTAAATAAAGTCAAAAACGTTCCCGACAACAACAGCCGTTGCAAAATACAAATAATTGTTCTTACCTCAATGAAACAGACTATTCAGACTCTAAAGGGATCGACCTTTGTTTTTTTGCTTTTTCACTTAGCCAGAAAACAACCGGATTTCCGGGCCGAGACTTCAAAATAAAAGAACTACTACTTTATACACAACGTTTATAATCTACAATCCACAATCATTTAGTCTGACGCATTAAAACAAAACAAACAAAACCGTCCATGGTATACATTCTGAAAAAACACTGGACTTAGATTTCTAGGTCGAAGACGTTTCACCTCTCTTCTGCTCTCATTGAAAATTTGTGGGTAGATCTTAAAAGAGCTGTGCATGCAAGACGACCAAAGAATATTACAGAACTAGAAGCCTTTTGCAAGGAAGAATGGGAGAAGATCCCAAGTACAAGAATTGAAAGACTTTTAGCTGGCTATGAAAAGCGTTTGCAAGCTGTGATATCTGCCAGAGGAGGTGTTACTAAGTACTGATTGTGTAGGGTGCCCAAACTTTTGCACCATGCCATAATAATGTTTTTATTTTTGTTCAATTTATGGCATAAGAAGTAACTATGCATCACTGTTTGCTGAAAATATTGTGCATTTTTTCCATTTCCAAGAGAAACTGTGTTAACATCTGTTCAAATAAAAAATCACCAAAATCTGTTATTTATCAAGGGGTGCCTAAACTTTTGCATGAGACTGTACCTGGACTGTCTGTCTGTGCAAAAATGGCAAATAAAAATCCTGAATCTTGAATTTTCTTTTGGATTTTGTTAAAAGGTTTATTAAACATTTCAGTTCCACAAAATTTGAATATTCTGGCTATTTTTTGATGTGTCAGGCTTTAAAGGGCTAAAACAAATTATGTTATTGTGTTTAAATTATGCTGTTCTATACTATCTATTAAATTCTACAATATCCAGTTAGTCTTAAAATCACTGTAAAAAATATGGCTAACTTTCAGGGTGTGCACTATTTTTCTTAAGCTACAACAAAATATTGTTATGATGACCACAGGGCAGAAAGTGTGTGATCATATAGTTGATTCAGTTCTGAATGGTTTGTTTGGTGCAACCACTTGATAACAAGTGAAGACTGGCATCAAACTTTCATCCCTCTGCAGCCTATGACCACTTGTTAATATACACTCTCAATGAAAAGGTTCTGACACACCTTCCCATTCAATTCAGTGAGGAACAGTGTCCAAATATTGACTGGAAGTGTATGCATTATTTTTAATTAAGACAGCTTACTGCCACATCACACAAGTGTCAGGGAGGATTAGATTAAAAAAAAAAAAAAAACCTGCTCTGATTACACCGGGGTCTGTCGGAGGTTTCTTCCCTTAAAGGGAGTTTTTCCTCCCCACTGTCACCAAGTGCTGCTCAAGGGGGATTTGTTGGGTTTTCCCTATGTAATAATATTAATAACAGTAAGGTCTAGACCTTAGTTTGTAAAGTGTCCTGAGATGACTTTTGTTGAGATTTGGCGCTATACAAATAAAATTTGATTTGATATTTCTTAAAGGACATTTTTTGCCATCTTTTAATGAGCAGAGAGTTCAGAGTTCACCTCAGTTTAAAGCACACATGAGTAAAAAAACATTTCCATTACAACAGACAACTACAGTGCAGATGTGTTCGCTAATATAATTCAGTGCCTCAGTATTAAGCTTTAGACAAAAACAGAAACCGTGTATTAGTGTAGTAAAATAACCATGTGGGACTTATGCTACCGATGTTAGTGCAACAAAGTCAACTTGAAGAAACAACACATTTTCTACTAAATATTAATCCATTAACTTCATAACAAACCATACGTTAGAATATTAGTTATAAAATTCATATGAAATGATTTTTTGTCTCAGCTCATGCTGTTTGTCATCATTTCTGAAGCTGCCTCCGTCTCTGTCAGATCTTTGGGTCTTTGAATCTGCTCCTCTTGCTTTAGTTCCTCATAGTCCACTGAGGCTGCTGACAGACATAAGGCTGGTAAACTGGCTGGAACCTCGTGAGCTTTACATTTCTGCTTGTTCTTGGCTAATAGACAGCTGATCTTTCCAGATGTTTTCCCATCTTTTCTAGAAGCCTTTGTTCCTTTTTTGGTCGTCTGCTCTGACATCCATACCCGCTTCTCTGGCTCCTCTAACCTTAAACTAGATTTCACTGCAGGATCCCGAGTCCCAGGTGTGCAGCATGGACACATAGTGCGCTTCCTTGTCCGTCCTCTTCCCCTTGTGTTTGTGTTCACATCCACACTAGTCCGAGCTTGCAGCTGGGCAGCTGTGTCCTGTGACTTTGGGCTGTTGTTTTCATCTGTGCTGGGAAAATCCTCGTCTATCGGTTCCATGTAGCCACTCACTGCTTCGGTTTCAACATTACATGATGTTCCCTTGAGTAGGAACTGATTATTCAAAGCACAGAGAGGGTTCGTCTCTAGTTGGGAAAGAAAACATTTGACAGGTGTGATATCTGTGTGAGGAGCTGGAGTGGCAGGGTCTGCTGACAGTTCCTGTTCTTGGACTCTTTTGATATTATTGAGCCCACTGATGAAATCAGTTTCTTCATTTTCACAGGACTTATAAAGCTCCGGCATAACGGGTTCATCCCCTTTCAACCCGCCCCCTGGTTCCTGTTGATTCTCCACTGACTCCACTGGTTCTGCAGGGACAGACCCAGCTGCACCTTCTTCTATCCTCTGCAGACAAATTTTTAAATTGGCTGTGATCCCAAATGTCTGCCTCAGGAGGTCATCGGCCATTTGACAGGATTTTGGTGCCAGTGAAGATGTGCAATATGGTGCAGGACTTGATGAGCTCTGCAAGAATGGAAACATAAAATATGAACGATAACTAAAATGCACCATCCATCCATTACCTACACTGATTATCCTGAATAGGGTTGCGGAGGGCTTGTGCCAATCCCAGCAGACATTGGGCGAAAGCCGGGGTCCACCCTGAACAGGTCGCTAGTCTATCACAGGGCTGACGTGTACACAAACAACCACACTCACTCCTATAGGCAATTTAGAGCCACCAGTCAACCTAAGCTGCATGCCTTTTTACTGTGAGAGGAAACCGGAGCACATGGAGAGAACCCACGTAGGTACAGGGAGAACATGAAAGGGCCCGGGTCGGCTGGGGCTCAAACCTGGGGATGTGAGGCAACAGCCACTAACCAGTGCCCCACCATGCTGCCCACCATTGTAAAGTATTCACTTTACAGTGGTGGGCAGAATCAGCTTTACTGGCCAAGTATATTTAAACGCACAAGGAAGTCAGCTCCGGTACAGAGGCTCTCGATGTGTTTTGAAAGGCAACACACATCTTTGGGTTTTGGACTGTTGGTAGGATAAAATAAGATGTGAAGATGTCTACTAGAATCTGGGCAACTGGACGGACAGTTTTCACTTTTATATAAAGTTAAACAACTGAATTCCAGCCCCCGTTAAATTATCTACTATCCCATAGCTACATAAATCCCTGCTATAAAACACCACAATGTTCTCCACAGCCATGAGGCTCACCTCTGTCGTGTGGGTATCCTCTTCCTGAGGGCACATTCCACTGCTGTGGTCCGAGGTGCTGGGATCCACTCCACTCTCTCTTTCTAGATCAGCTTCCACGCTCTCAACCCGTTGGGCGGAGCAGCTCGGCTGGCTCTTCACATGAGAGCCCTCCTTATCGGGCACGCTCATCACTACTGAGCCACAAACATGTGTCAAATGTTGTCCTGTGCTGACTAACCTGCTCTGCTCAGGTCTGCTCCCGCTGAGAGCAGAGCCTTCGCCACTTCTACCAGCCAGGCTCTTTTCTCCTGTCACATCGTTTGAGCTGCCCGTGCCCCTCTGGTCCGTTTCCTTCTCAAGGACCATTTGTATTTTTGTATCTGCTGATCCAGACTCACTTTTCGGTGGAATATATGACACAAATATTACATTGTCTTCATCCAGAGGAGGGACTGCTGACATATTAACTGATGCTGCTTGTTGAGATGAGTCTTCATCATCACAAAGATCAATCACTTCATCAGACTCATCTGGAATGATAATGCTGGTGTCCTGCTGGATTTCAGCTGCAGCTGGCTCAGCTGAAGTTGCAGTGTTTTTTTTTAGTTCATAAATTTTTGTTGCTGCTGTGGGTGAGTCGCCTTTTCCCAATTTAAATGGTAGGCTGCACTTCCTGGCAACAAAAAAGACCTTCCCATTGTACACGACCAAGGCATTTTCCTGTCCCGGTGCGCTCTTGCCCCGACTCGACTGGGAAATAGTTTTGCTAGTAACGTCACAGTCCTTGCCCACAGTTTCTCTCTCTGTCACAGCTCGAAGAATCTCTGGGGTATCAGAAGAAGCATTAACCCGACTTGGAGCCGCTGAGCTGTCCTCCTCTTCAATCACCCATTTTGTAGGGCTGTCGGGCCTCTGAGAAACCTTTGGAATCAATTTTAAATGTGGTTCCGATCCTCTCGATGTGGGTCCATGTGACGTCTTGGAAAGCAGCCTGAAGGAGTCCAATGCAGAATGACATGGTGGAGTAACACCTGGACTCACCATCACAATGGGCGACACGTACACCACACTGGGTAAGCCTGAACCTGAAGAGCAGGTGGCTGATGAACTAAAAATCTGTTTCTTGATACTCAGAGGGAGCTCAGATCCTGAGACTATTTGTATTTGTGCATTAGGGGGAATCTGAAGGTACTGTCCCCTGGGGAGTGCTGGAGATTTCACTGTCACTGGGAGCTGACATGAAGGCCTGACCAAGCCCCCACAGTGTGCTGCAATGTCAGGTTCTGTCGCTGTTGAATTTACAGTCTGTTGCTGCAGTAGATGCTTGTTTAATGTTGTATCATTATGACCCCCTACTTGATTAGGCAAAGGATTCACAGAGGAAACCTGCTTCCTGATAACGTGCTGAATGTTTAAAGGAGTTGAACCTGCCTTTTTTACCATCTGAACAGGCACTGAGGAAATATTTATGCTTACATCTTTCTGTGGTGTAGAATCTGTTCGGGCTTTGCTTATTTCAGTGTGGACAAACTGTCCATTGACCATTTGTACAGGAATCAGTTTCATGATCTTCTTTCCATCGACTCCCACGGCAGGCATTGCCTGGTAGAACACGCCGGTTCCACTGAGAGAAGAAACAGTAGAGGACAAAAATGCATCAGCCACAAACTTTAAAGACAGAAAAGTAAAGATGTACTGAAGATGGATTATTCATTTGGCAGACACCCTTGTTCAAAGCAATAAAACACATTGTTAACATGTCAAATGACAAGATTCTCAACAGATACAAGGGTAGATCTTTACAGCGCTGGGGTTGTACAGGCATTAAAGGTATAGTACAACATTCTGGGAAATGTGCTTATGTGCTTTATGTCTGAGATTGAGATAAGAAGGTTTATGTCAACAGGCCTTTTTCACAGCAGATATTTTGATTTGTCACAGCAGAAAAAGTACAAGCTTAAGTGTGTAAATAATGAATGACTCACTGTCACACCATCATGGCTTACGGGGACATTCTTATTGACAATTCAACTGAGGCCTGATCAGTTAATGAAGTTCTGGCTCTTTTAGTGTAGAAAGATGCCTTAACTTTGCACATGCCACAATAACATGTTTTTATTTCACATTTTTGAAGTTCATAAAAACACAAGTAATTTGCCCAAAAATTACTTAGTGCCAAAACATCTGGAGTGAGCAAAGCAAGTGGTCATTTTAATATTTTACAGGTCAATTACACCTGGTTTTGTTAATGCTGAGATCAGAGTCGTGCAACAAAGCCAAGCTGTCAAACATATCTGAACAGCTTTACTAATATTAATGCAAGGCCAGTTGGATAGCACATTGTCATACACAAAACCAATTCAACATAATGCATATACACAAAAATGTATTCAAATTTAAAGAATAGAAGGGTAAAAGAATATTAAGTGTAAAATACAATAAATAAAAGTGCAATCCTAGATGTGCACTGCATTATGAGGAAACATGAGTGAAAAAGTGAAGTGCAATAAATATTGGATCATGAAACAGGGTCAGGACATCCCTAAGTGAAGGTTTCATACTTCACTGCACATGCACGTCACACAAAATGAGTGTGTCTGGGATGTGACGTGTAATAAACACAACCACAATGTGGGTGCACACTCACGTGGCAGTTTATGAGGTAAACCAAGCGAAAACATCTGCATCCTAAGCAGTCGTCCTGCAGTAACGATGTTAGATGCTTGTCCGCAGGTCACAGATAACGGAACACACAGCTGTGGTAGGCTGCGTTACTTTTAGCTGTGCACCTAATACACTGCCACATGAGACTTGTGCACGTAGAGGAAATACACCAACGGACATGACACAGACCAGAAGCAGACTAAAGCTGCATTAATTAAAATCTAAAACAACAAAATAATAAAATATTAGAGCCTATACTACAAAAAAGTTCCATGTGCAATGAGCGCCAGCCGGTGGCCGTTTCCAGCAGGACACCAGTCTGTTCACAACAGCCTCATATTTGTCATCTCTTTAAACTTTATAACTGTACCTGGGAACCGCATCCATGTCTTTCCTTGCGGGATTTGCGACTCCTGAAAAACGGGAATGTTCCCGAAACGTCCGTTTGACGACCAGCGTCTGCAATGAATCACGAGCCAGAATAAAAACGACTGGTATGAGTTACCTACACTGTGTTTACATTGAAGCCGTGCCCGCGAAGAGTTAAGTCATGGCAACGTCGATGCAAAGTCAGTTTTCGCCGTTACTTCCTTCCTGGAGTACATCTTTCATTTGTCCCACTCATACAAGGTTTCATCGTAGTTTTCTTGTGGCAGGTCTCTCGGCTTCCGTGCGCCGAACTTCCGGTCTATTACCAGGGTTCGTATTCAGCGTTTACAGTTTTGGTTTGATTTTCATTTGTCACGCAGTATAAATTAAACCGAGTGGCTCCAGGATGTTTAGGCTAAAACTCTTCTCTTGTGTTTTGGCACTTTGTTTATTCACACGCCAAACAAAGGGCTGAACGCTCAGATACAAAACCCTGGTGACGGTCCGCTTCTTCTTCTTCTTCTTCTTCTTGGTTTTATTGGTGAGTTTTCACCATAAGGAGCATTATCGCCACCAAATGTTACTTTCATGGCCATTAAACTCATGGTTTTCTTCAACAAATAACACACATTTTTGGCAACAGGACTCATTGTCTCAAAACACTCACCACAATTCAAAGAACCACAGTACACACAAAACACACTAGACTACAAAACACTTATCAAAACCAAAGGTTTGCATCAGGTGCCACACACTTCATTCACATTAACTGACCTAATTTCTAGGAAAGTGCACGCTGCTGTGCTAAATTCAAAACACATTTCAGAATCAGAATCAAAATCAGTTTATTGGCCAGGTGTGTTGGACACACGAGGAATTTGACTCAAGTACATCGGCTCTCAATGTGCAGACAGTAAACCAGCATAAGACTGTGTAATATAACAAAATAGCAGTATTAACATCAACAAACAGTGCAAACAATGCAGAAAACAAAGGAATGTTCATTGAAATGAGATAAATAGGGATAAAACAGAGTACTTAAAAGTAGAGACCTGTACAAGTCTGTATAATCTGTACAAGGTATATTTACAGGTATTGCATGAAGGGTTATTGTCCAATCATACTGTCGTGGGTTAAGTGTTCATCAGAGTGATGGCCTGAGGGAAGAAATTGTCCCTGTGCCTGGTTGTCTTGGTGCACAGTGACCTGTAAC